GAGAGAGGTAATACTATTGGGAGGACAATTAGGAGGATAATAAGGATGAAGAGTAGTAATAAGGGGAAGTGGGGGTAGACAATGAGGAAGACTGTGCAGTAGAAGATGGTGGAAGATGTCTGGGAGAGAGGAAAGGGTGTATTCTGAAGGTTGAGTAATGACCTGGGTGGATGATTCGGAATGGATAGAGTTGACAGCAGACATCGAGGAGGTGGTATTAGTATCAACCCCTGTCTCTCCTTTAAGCTGTGCTCAAAGGAGAGACAGGGGTTGGGAAAACAATGAAATCAAATTTAGATATGCTAGTTGATGAAGGGGTAAGCCTTAACCCCTTCATGACGGGTGACGCTGGTAGGCGTGAAAACAAAACGCTCGAAAAGTGGCATGCAGCTGTACGCGGTGGCGGCACGCCAAAGTGTAGCGAGCCGGTGATTTGGCCTGATGTACTGAACTACCGCGCTCAAAGTCGGTGCGCTGCCCTGGTTCGCCAGAGTGTAGTTTTTTTTCTTTTGTTTTCTTCACCCGTCACCATTGGGTTAATGGTCCTAATAAGGGTAAAACATCTTCATCTTGGCCGTGGTGAGCCTTCAATAAATGGGGAGAGGGAATGGTCTACCCATCAGAGTCCCCATGAGGGGTAAGGGCTAGACAATTAACCCGGGGAATACTGTGCCCATGGCTCCTGGAGGCCGTTCATGACTGCCATAAAACCAGCCTTTCATCCTTTCAGCACAGGTCTCACACCTTAGGAAGTGGACAGAAAATGGGGATGATGAAGAAGAGAAGGAAAGGAAATGGGGAGAAGAAAAGACAATGCAAAATTAGTTGAGGCAAGGGCTGAGGTCCAAGGTAGGGTTGATCCCCTACATTGGGCCCCAGTCTCTGTCTCCTAATCTCCCCATGACAACAATGAACAAGGGATGAGGGGGGACTTGATGTTAAATGTGGGAAAGTCTTTGGGTGGAAGGGTATTCATAACTTACCTTAACTCAGTTTCCTTTTTTCTAAGCCTGAATCTCCTCCCCTCCCCACCCATGTGGAGACAACAACTGTTTCTTATGTCCTCTATTACTTAAATATCAATAAATAATTCTTCACATTTTTTAAAGACTAGTGCATTTAGAAAATTGCTGCTGCCAATAGCAATTTCATTAATTTCATTTGATTGTTTGACTGTGGATGCAGACCCATGTCCTGTGGGCCTGCAGTTGCCTTAACTCAATGATTAGAGTGGATGGAGCCAGGAAACATTCAGTGCCCTAATTTTTGTACCTGAGTTATTATCTGTCACCCGCAATGATGGGTTTTGCCCCTTGTCTTTCATTCTAAACAAGCCAATTATTGTTTTTCAATAAAAGCATCGGGCAAAAAGGGTTCAGGATCACATAAGAAGGCTCTAGCTCGAGAAATGGCGCTATCTCTGTGTCTGCATAGTGCACAACTTCCTTTGTCATAACATTCATCCAGAATGTGGGCCCAACCCTTGACATGTCATCAGGTTAAGTAAGCCAAGCTGCCAACTTTAGAAAACGCATGGCATTACTGAAAGTTAAGCTTTTTACTTATGGAGCTAACATTATCTTCCTTAGAAATAGGACTTGTCAATTTTTTGTGGAACCTGGATTTCTTGTAACTAGCTAACATGTGAATAACCAACTAAAACTATTTACTAAAACACAATTTGTTAAAGTTGTCTGCTCTTTGCAAATTATGGATTTTTCAGAGACCTCTCCCCAATGTTTGTATCTTATGATGTCTGCTGTTTGTATTGTACCTGAATTTGGTGTACTGTGTGCAGCTTAGAATAAAACTATTAGTAATTACATTATACTAGAAAACATATGCAACCTGGGTTATTACAAACAGCACATGTGGAACACTAGTCATAAGGTTCTTAAAGTTATACAAGAAGCAGAAAATTTTGAACCACTCACACTAAAGCTAAAGTATACAAATCACTGATTGTCAGAGAACAGACACGAGAATAGAAGGGAAAGAAGGGAGTTCCCATACAAACAAGAGGAAGATATAAGAGAGGAGAAGAGAGCAGGAGAGGAGAGGAAGAGAGAGATTAAAAAGAAGCGAGGCTGGGAAAGATGGATATTCCCAGAAAGAGAAGAGGATAAAGGAGAGGAGAGGGAGACAAAAAAGACGAATGGGACAAAAATACAGAAGCACTGAATGAAAGGAGAAAGGCAAGAGAAAAATGGAGAGGCAAGAGAAAAATGGAGAGGAGAGCCCAATGAGTGGGCACTAATTTTTGCCACGACTGAGAGACTTTTTCCCTTAACTGTTTGATTTTGGAGGAGATGTACGCAATGTCCACTAATATACCTGATACTGTCTGGCAAATTTTCTTTAGCCACACCAAAGATATCACCCCTATATCCTCACTCCCCTTGTAGGCCCTCCTCTGCCTGAGACACTACTAAGTTATGTCTTCCTGTCTCTATCTTTCTGTGAATGAAATGCAGTGAGTGTGAAGTAGTAATTCTGATAC